GTACAGTTGTGTTGGATGCCTCAAGGTCCACTACTGCAACAAAGCAAGTGAGGCCAAACCAAGCAAGAGTGCAAGGTATGGAATCCCATGATTCTTGATGTTTTTACATTTTTTTAATGTTTTTCTTCTACAACCCACAGGAAAGGCGCCAGCATGTGAAGTGGAGCACAGACACAGAAGTGCCTATGCATGATTGAGGCAACTCTTGCACAGCTCATTGAGCTCTGCACAATGATAGTCAACCATCTGGATGAAATGAACTCAAAGGTGCTGTCTGTGCCAAACAAACTGCACTCTTGATCAATTCTTACATGCAACCTTGTCCAACAGGTGGTCTTGAGAAAGGAGGTGTCATTGTTCTTCCTCACCAAAGCTGAGGAGATCTACTTCAACCACACATGCTTCAGCAGCACAGAGCAACAGCAGCTTGAAGTAGATGGGGTCAAGGAATTCTTGCTTCAGTTAAAAGCCAAAGAAATGAATTGTGACAAGACAAGGCTGTCAAGTGGTGGCAAGCAGTGGATACAGGTGAGCCTCACCCCCATGGTACTACTCCTTGCCCCCTTTTTGTTTTGACATCACTTACTCAATGATCTCTAGCTCTCCACATGTAGGGGTGAACTATGACATGCACTTGGTGAGACAATGGTCAACAACTTTCAAGCCCAAAACCCTTGCCTCACATTGGCCAAGTACAAGGCCAAGCTACTCTCTGGTACATCACTTTCTGTCCTTTAGTTAGTCATGGCTATTCTCACACTATTGAGGTGCAGATTCAGATGAGCATGAGTTGCTGGTCCATCAAGCAATCAGCACTATCAATGAGCACATGCATGACAACACCAACTTGCTGAGGGGAGTGCTCTTTCACAAGCCCAACTCTTTGGCGTGGTGGGCAGACCAGATCAAGAGTGGATGCCATCCTTTGGTGAAGCCAAAAGTGGCTTGGATGTTCAAATCGGTCCTTCAGGTACCCTCAAGCTCTTTCCTCATACACAAGTGCATCTTTGTTGACCATGGTGCAGTGGCTAGCCACAACAGGGGATGGGAGTGCAGATCTCATGAATGTGGAGGAGGGCAATGGTGGCTTGGACAACAGGGACAATGATGCAGGTGAAGCTAATGCTCAGCCTGACACTGACACTGAATTGATACACAAAGAGTATGAACTTGAAGAGGAAGTCATAGAAGAAGAAGAAAATAGAAAGCATGATGAATGCAACTGCAGCAACAATGATGATGGCAGTGGTGGCAGTGATGACAATGGTGGCAATGGTGGCAATGGTGGTGATGGTGGTGATGGTGGCGATGGTGGCAACAGTGGCAATGACAGTGGTGAAGGCAACAGAGATGGCAACAATGGCAACAGTGGTGAAGGTGACAATGGCGATGGTGGTGAAGGTGATGGTGGTGATGGTGGTGGTGACAATGGAGACAGTGACAATGGTGACAGTGGTGATGATGACAGTGGTGACAACGACAGCTGCAATAGCAAAGAGGGCAACAGCAGAGGCATTATGATGCAGAAGGTGTGTGTTTTTGTTCTTTCTTGCTGTTTTGTCATTCTAATTGTCATTTGATTGTTTTGTTGGCAGGACATTCAGCAGCTCATACACAGCACATCCACATTTAACATCATGGACTCTTCTGGTTCAAAACTAGTGGTTGTGGAGAGGCCAGAAGTTGTCAAGAAGCAGGAGCTACAACAGCAACAACAACAAGCAGTGGTAGAAAAACAGCAAAAGGAAGAGGAGGAGACAAAGAAAAAGGAGGTGGCGGCTGCTGAGAGAGTGAGAAAAAAGGAAGAGGCTGAGAAGGACAACTCATTGGTGAAGAAGAGGAAGCAAGCAGAGAGTGCTGAGGGTGACACAAGTCCTGCTGCTGCTGCCCCAAAACAACAGAAGAAGGAGCTTCCCCCAACCTCTGTGGTCACCTGGCAGCAGAAGTGAAAGGCCAAGGAGATCACTGAGAAGGTGGCAGTGGGCTCAACGAAGGCAGTGGTGGGCTTGATGAAGGCGGCGGTGGGCTCAATGAAGGCAGTGGTGGGCTTGATGAAGGTGGTGGTGGGCTCAACAAAGGCAGTGGTGGGCTCAATGAAGGCAGCAGTGGGCTCAACAAAGGCAGTGGCGGGCTCAACAAAGGCAGTGGTGGGCTCAACAAAGGCAGCAGCAGGCTCAACAAAGGCGGCAGTGGGCTCAATGAAGGCAGCAGTGGGCTCAACAAAGGCAGCAGCAGGCTCAATGAAGGTGGTGGGCTCAATGAAGACAACAGGGACCTCCACTAAGGCAACAGCAAGGGCAGCTGCACCCAAGCCTAATAGGAGGACAGCAAACATGCCCAAGGCAATTGAACCACCCACAGGTACCCTTCTTTCTTCATTCTTTTTTGTTCTTCTTCTAACCCATTGATCACAGAGAATTCCAAATGGGAGGTTAGCTTGGTTTGTGAGGATATCACAGCCAACCTCCTGGAGATGGAGCTTGTGGGAATGGGAGATCTGAGGATGTTTGCAATGAGCATTCATGATCCATTCTACAAGCAGTCAGGCCTCATGGATGCAGCAATGGAACAGCTCAGAGCCACCTCAGGTGCGTGGAGTGAAGTGGAGGATGAGAATGGGGAGCCCAATAGCAGGCACCCATGCCTGTTCCTCATCATAGAGGACAAGCCCCAGTGGACCGTCAGCACAACACCAATCTTCATTGGCTACCATGAATAACTGGTACCACCCACAGTGCCTCACAGTGCGACATCTCTAATTTATTTGGCTTTGCAGTAAGGTTCTATGCAGGCCACCTGTGCTCTCCAGTGTGCCGTGCACTGATGTGCCTCTGCCGTTTTGCGGTCAGCCTATCTTCCACCCGCCCTTGGCCCAACAACTCCACATCCATCATCCCCCTCCCCTCTCAACACCCACCAACTCGCGCTGTACCTTTCACAAACAAAAACAACGAGTTTCTCTCAACTTATCCTCATGCACACTCTCGCTGTCCTGCTCCACTTCCAACGTCTCGATTTTTACTGTCGGCTCCCTCTCCAGGAACTTGCTCGCCTTGGCCTCGTCGCACCGCCTCGACCCGCCTGGGCCTGCAGGGACAAACCGGAGCGAGAAGCTTTGGCTGGACGCCTTTTTTCGAAATTCCTCGCCCATCCGTTTTTCCAGTGCTCGATGGTCTTGGCCTGGGCATCCGCATCGCTCAACACCCTGGTCGACCCGCCACCGACATAGAGAACGTTGTACCCAGTGCCAAGATCCTGACGCAGGATCTTCTCGCAGTGCTCTGCATCGGTGGATCTGTTCTGCACGTGCTGGCTTCGAAAATGGCCCTGGCAAAATAAATACGTGGCGCCTCGCCATTGTCCTTTTCCTCCCCTTTCACGCATGCAGCAGCAACTCCCCAACGAGCTCTGGGAGCACATACAATCGCACCTGCCCTCCCCCGGCGATGCCGCGCGCTTCCAGCTGGTGTGTCTCCAGTTCAGCACCTCTGGCGTTGCCGCTAAGCGCCAGTCGTGCTCTCCCGCTTGTGCCGCCCTGTGGAACCTCGAGGAGATCATGGGCGATCGCGCACTCGCGCAGGAGCTCGTCGCCGGCGACATCCACCTGGCTCTGCATCGCAAACACACGAAAATGAGGGCGCTAAAGTTAATCAGTGGCGGCGTCGAGCAACAATCCTGTTACACCGTTTTGTACGACGGCACGATCATCAACGCGCTGCTTTCCGACTCGACTCATGAATTGCCGCATGGCCGTTCTCACGTCGTCATGTTGACAGTGACGGATGGTCAACTCGCCGTGCTCCTCCAACCCGGCGGTGGCGGTGTTCCTCGATTCGCGATGCCGAAAGTCTTCCCCCTGAATCTGGCCCACAAGTCAGGCCTCGCCCTCGTAGGGCATGGGCCTGAACTGAATGGCTATTGCCTGCGGTTGTGGAGCGGCCATGTTCCTGAAGCCGACTGGAGGAACTTCATTGATGAGACACATTACATCCTCGATGGAAATGGCGAGCGCACGCTGCGCTTTGAGAAAGGCATTGTAACACTTGTATGAGAATGCAATTTTATTTACCCGAGAGGGAAGCCGGTGCATGGTCACCATTGCATCCTCGCCACAAATACTCTTTTGCCGCCTTACGACGGACGGGCACAACGCGCGTGACGGTACAAACACAAGTGACATGTTCAATAGGCGGTCATCAAACATCGTCGTATGAGTCGACGCATATGTCAGTGATTCCGGCCTGGACGTGTTCCTCCCAATCGAGCGAGTAGGGATCGTAGACCCAGCATCTCCTCGCCTTCGTGAACATCGTGCCGTTCCTCGTGATGCCGCCTCGTGGGCGCGATCGCCACTCCATCACGTAGAAGGCACAGTGGCCCGATCCAGCCAACTGCTTAACCTCGACCTCGATCAGCTCGCCGTAGACTTCCTCCATTCCACCCGGAACCACCAGCCCGATGGTGGCATGGTCCTTTTGCCAGCCGATACGTTTGTCTTGTTGCTCATCCCTCTCTTGCTGCTGTGTGTGCGTCCTGGGTCCTCTGGCCATTTGTTCCGTTAGGGTTGCGCTTAAAAAACACAATGCGCTCCCACATCGGGGAACAACCACACCCATTTCTGGGACCTGTGTTTGTGCGATATGATGGATTTGTGGGCGCACGTCTTTGACCTCATCGAGTTCAAATCCCACCTGCGTTTCGTGTGCCGTGTGTGGCGCGATGTGGTCGCACCACCGGATCGAATCAGCTGTTCCTCGGTGAGGCCATCGCAAGGGAGTGGCACGATCTCATTCGGTGGTGCATCGGGCAGGGCCTGCCGTGTAATGGCGACGTGTTCAAGTTGCTGATTCGATCGAAGCAGGCGGATGTCGCTCGGATGATAGCATCGGGCCGCATCTCGCTCGCGAAACAACTCCGTCGGATTGAGAGGGGCAGTGTACGCGCGTCAAGACCCTCCAGGCCGCCGGCATCCTCTCCTAGAGCGATGGGCCCGATTGGATCATTAAGCCCTGGCCCGCCTTTGTGCCCGGCAAGGAAAACTGCCGTGCCGTCGTCCAGCCCTCATGCCCGCCCTCGCCGGTGGGCGACGTGTAATCTGGTGCTAGTGTTATAATTATCATTATTATAATTTTAGCACATGCCGGTCCTCGGACCGAGAGGAAAGAATGTTGAAGAATGTCGAGAAAAATGATGGTAGAGAATGTTCATTCTGCAGCGAAAACACAACACAACAGCACTCCAACACAACCAGAGGCACACGAGACAAGATAGAGAAGATGCCGGACAAGAGGTATACGCGAGGCTGTGGCACGACTTGTCTCCGGTGCTGGCGAAACAGGCTGAAGCACGGGAACAAGGAGGCCAAGGCGTTCATGAAGGCTCACCCAGAGCTCGACTGGAGTGTGGATTGCGCGAGCAAGAAGCCCACCAGACGCGCCAAGCAGACCCAGACCCAGGCCCAGACCCAACAATGCCGGAAGAAGCGGAGGAGGACGCGCAACAAGGAGGACGATCGTGAGTCCACACCACCACAACTTGCGGCTCTGTGAGCGCCCTGTCCATAAAAATATTTGCCCATCCTTTCAGGTTTACCTTTCGCAGAACACTCGCACCCGCCGTCCATTGAACTGAGCCTGTCCTGGAGTCCGTCATGCAGCGTATTTCGTCGCCGCAAAAGTCATCCTATAGGGCCACAGAAACGCGCCCGTGCTACCTCAGTACAGGAGGTGCCAGCCCAGGCGCCATGGAGTTGGACAGTAAGCAACCCAACGACAAGAGTCGGGCCATCGATAGCAGTCTGCACAGCATCCGTGTTGACACGTCACGCCCTTTCGACGTCCCAGCGTCAACTTGGCACCAGTCAGGGCCGCTCGACCAACTGCCGCCATTCCTCCCTTCATGCCCTTCGTTCCATGGTCACCGGCCCAAGCCCCCCACTGACAACAGCAGGAGGCACAAAACATGCTTTGACGAAATGGTAAGGGAGGCCGTGGAGAAGGCCCTCCAGCCTCTCTCAGCTCAACTGGCGTCCATGGAGGCAAGGATCACAAGGTTGGAGCGATCCTCGCCGTCCCTCCCCTCGAACTACGGGCACAGTGCAAGGCCGGGTCTTTTGTGATAGCGTCATGGTTTATCCACCAACATGTACCCTTTTTTTTTGATATTCCTGATGGACTGATGGACGAGGTGGCAGGTTTCAATTGTATTTGTAGACAAGTCTCACTTCCTTCTTGTCATAGAACCACTCGCGGCCTATGTGACTCTGCAAGGCCATCTCGAGCGCCTCGATCGTCGTGTTTCGATCGATGGAGACCGAAGGGTTTTCGCCGTAAAAGTATCCGTCTTGTGCCAAGGCGCCGTTCAGACGCGCGACGGCAGCAATCATCTGGTCGCAAATCCTTCTAAACTGCTCGATCCATGGCTCCACGCGAGGCCGCCACATCAAGCGCCATCCCTCCTTGGCCTCCTCCAATTCCCAGCCCTTGCTGGGTGTCAACTGGTCCAAGCGGGGTGTCTTTGGGAAGCACGCAACGGGCGCAGGTGTCGGGATCATTGGGTGAGAGAAGAAATTGGGTGTATGCCTTGGTGGCCTTCCTAATGATTTGGTCCTGCACGCTTGTCGTCGCCATCGCAAGCATCACCAGCCGTAAAGATCTTGGGAACTAGCAAGCGCGAACAATGGTGTCCAAGGAAAACTCTTACTTCTTTATTGGGATTGCGTCATTTTCACAGGGCTCTGATGAGGAGTCATCTTCCACAAGAGGATCCACAAACACAAGCACGCCGCGCATCTCCAAAACTGCGACGTTGTAGAGGCCTCCTCCTTCGCCCGACTCGCGCCTGGTCTCGATGGTCTTGGCGCGGGCCCGTCGGATCGGCGTTGATCCAATCGTAGTAGCGCTGGTGGTTGAGGTTGAAGTGCCAGTTGGCGACGTTCGCTGTCATGCCTGATGAGGGGCAATCCAAGGTCATGCTTTCTGACAAGAAGAACGTGTAGCGGTGCCGCCGTGCGCTACCGTGTGGCGTCTGGGGCGTGAAAGTCTCGGTCCTCATCTCGACGGTATAGACCGCCGGCGCGATGCGCCTGATGGCCTGCTTGACCGCGGCGCAGGCTCGGTCTCGGAGCGCAGTGGCAGCGTCGCCACTGGTGGGCAGGACCATCAGTTTACGCAGCATTGCGATGGTGTGAGACTGCATGTCGTAGTCGTAGAACATGCCCGTGTGGATGGCCTCGCGCGAAAACAGACGCGTGCAGCATTTCGCCACGAGCAACTGGTCGTGCGTTGACCGCGCGACGGATGACTGAATCGAAGCGCGTGAATCGTTCGGATGTCTGGACGTCGCAACTTTCTCCAGTTACACGAGATCCAACGGCCGAGAAAGGCATAGGGGTGATCCGCGGCATAAGACTGCCAGAGGCACGGTCTTGAACGAGTACCCTTCGATGGGGATCTCGCCGTCGCAGATTGTCGGATCGGATGCGGCGTCCCAACGGCTCCGTTGGATCGCGATGTCGATCGTCCGGTCGAAAACGGGCACGAGCCTCGGATAGTAGGCCCGCAGGCGATCGTGGCAGCGCTTGGCGTCGCGGATGATGCGCCACAGACACCGATGCGTTTGGCACAGATTGGTGCACCCTCGCGCGCGCAGGTATTCATAACACCGGCCGTACACGAAACAAACCCGGCCGAGCGTGCTGACAAACCCTCCGATGGGTATGCCCGCTGCGCGCCTCAAGAGCCGCGAAGCGCAAACAGCCGCGGATGCGCTTACCATGTCCACACATTCTAGGATAATCAAGATGATTTCAACGGGCAGGTGCTCTATTGACATTTTAAAATGCTTGGGATCCATTGAGGCGAGTGCCGCCGGTACGCTTGGCCCTTCCGCCGAGGAAGCTGGCGCTGGCCGCGGAAAACTCGGACGAGCGTTGCGCGTGCACAGCACCCAACGGCATCAAATCGTGTTCGTAGGCGGCCGATTCGAGCGAGCGCTGCGTGAACGCTGACTGGTGGCTGGCCGAGAGCCCAGTGAGCTTGCCGCCATAACTGCCGCGCGCGAGGTAGTCGGGCATCATCGGCGGCGCCACCAACTGGGCCAGCACGGTAATGCTGGCGGCCTTTTGGATGTGAAGTATTGCTTGCGCATTCCTGCATCCACTGAGTCTGTGTGTGTGTGTGTGTGGTGG